CCACCGAGGAAGTGAGATGTTTTATCGATAGTTTTATCGATAGTTTGCAATTTTCCGCTTTTTCTTTCCCTCTGCATCTTCAGTTGACAATTCAGATAGCAGCATCGTTCGGAAAGGCTCTCTATTTCAATACGTTTGGTGGAAATCCAATGGCATCTGTTGTCGGAAAAACTGTTCTTGAGGTAAATAGTTCTACTTGGGTTCTGTTTCTTCCTTGTGGACTGTCCCAATATCATTGCTTCACAGGTACTTGGCATACTAAGAATGTGCATCTTAAGATTTTCTCCCTAGCATTCTCGAGGAGTTGCCTCTTCAAACTGTATGTAAAAGGATCTCCGAGTGGAGCTCGGAGCGTAGGGTATTCCGTGATGTGAATGAACCACACTGGATCGCAATCAAGGAGACGTCGGACACTCCCATAATGATCCGTAATCGTGACTATTGGGTGCTTTCATCCGAACAAGCAGTGAACTGTGGTTCCCAATCCAATGCTGGCAGGCCTCCGTGATAGCTCTCACGCTATCGTGGCTACAACCCATGTTTCATCATTGATCACTGGAGTATGTGTTTCCAACCCTCGAGTAGTTCTGATCTCACTGCAATGTCTTCTCGAAGAAGCGCTACTGTAGCCATCAATCGGATTGATCTTGATGCCTTTTTTGACAAATATGAGCAGTGTCCATCCAGTAGCACAGATTCTAGTCAATTCATCACAGGGAAAGAGAAATGACTCTAAGAAACAACTCAGGACTTCTCGTCAGTTTCTCGACCTGCTCTGGCAGCTGTTCAAGTGTCCTGTGAGTTCACTTCTATTCTCTGGTAGACAGCCTGAGAACAGTGGCCAGGTGCGTACCGGACGCCAGAATGGCGGGACTTTGTCCTCTGCTACATCGTCTGCTTGTCAGAGATGTCGTAACGATTCCGGAACTCGAGCGAACACTGCTGCAGCCAGTCATATAACCTTGAAATAATCTTCTCGGTGGAGACGGTTTAGTCCTGTAGTCATTCTTCTTGTGCTTCCTGGCATTGTGCCGTGTCAGTTTTCCCCCATACTCTCTTCAGTCGAGGAGTCGTGATAGATGCAGGGGAAACGTGACTTTCTCATCAGCGCATCGCAGTGCGAAAAGCGGTAGCTTGTCATGGGTTGGAACAACGAGTGATGGAGAAGACGGATTGACTACTTACTTGTGCGTGGAAGGCAGAATAGCCCGGGAATGAAGGCAATAGTTTGCTAATTGTTCTTGAAAACTAGAGGTAGAAAGGGCTACATAAGTACAATCAGGGTAATGCAGAAAGAACGGTAAAAATCCTTGCCACACAAAACGTTAGCACATTTAGTAGAAAACCTCAGCGTCCAGCTATCCAACATGTTCCGGGTGGGCTAGTTAGCGTTAAAATTAGTTGAGAGAGAGGAGAAACCGTTTTGAGTATCTCCTCATATGTAGAGGGATCTTCATATGTTCAGATACTCACTTGACGGCGCAAGCAGAGAATGTAGCATTCAACTGACTACTCCACATTTTTATTTATACACCAGGTGTAGAATGAGTTCAAAATTCAAAATTTTACCTATAGTCCAGGATTTGATGATTAGGTGATCGAAGAGGAAAAGCTTCAAGAAAACTGTGCTGTTGTTGGCGAATATTTCTTGAACCAACTTGCCTCCATCGATAGTCCGCTGATTGGTGACGTACGAGGGAAGGTGAGCTCTTACCCTTATATTACATTATCACGGTCATTGTTTGCAATTGAGTCTTTCTCTTTTCTGAGTGAAAGACACAAGTTTTTCTGAGATTTTCTCACGAACGTTTTCAAGGGCTTGATGATTGGAGTCGAGCTTATCAACGAGAATGGGAAGCCATTGCCTGTTGATCGTGTAGCTAATGTTTTTGAAGGAGTTAAGGTGCCTTTCATGATTCAGTCCGGTCTTAATTCCATTTAATTTTCCCTCTATCCAAAGAGGTTCAAAACTCCGATTCAGGATCGGGGAGTATTGCTCGGCAAGGGAGGTATCAACGGCAACGTCTTCCGGATCAAACCACCGATGTGTATTACGAAAAAAGACGTCGACACATGTGTGTCAGCCATAGCGGACGCACTGAAGCATGAAAAGAAATGATCGACTGATGCACTGACTTGCTTTCTGGATTTGGTGCTGTTTGTTGCACCAATACTTGCTGCGGGTGATATCCTTATAGTGTAGTTCTCTGCGGACGGTTGGGCGTGTCAGTGCGGCTGCGTTTGGCGCGGTGCCAAACTCGTTCTCCACCAGTTGTTGAAGCGAGCAAGTGACAATGCTGTATCATATCGTTCGTATTACTCGTTTTCTACCACTTTTTGTCGCATGCGCGCTTCAACAAAAAGGCAGAGAACGGCTTTGTTGCTGTGCACACTCATTCTGGCTGACACGCCCAACCGTCCGCAGCGAACTACAGTGTATACTATTAAGACTACTTGCCGCTTTCAAATTGTTGTTCTTAAGTCATAGTGTTGTCATATTACAGATTTCTACCTTCAAATATCATAAAATGCTCATACTGTTCATCAATTTTATGAACGTTCTTATACGATGTATCAATCTTACCTACACTGTGGGGTTCAGCATGTGTCGTGGATCCGCGTTACGATGCTCTGTTGGAACTGCGGGTATAGTCACAAGTACATAGCTCTTATTATCATAGCTTCTCGTTTTCATGCTTGCTTTACTGCTACCGGATTCAGTCGTCAAATTTGTAGAATCCTGACTTACGTGAGAGACCCACGCAAGAACTTCAGTATTCCAGGTTTTGCCTAGTACAAGCGAACCGGAATCTCGTAAGAGTTGGTTAGATTTTTGCGGTAGGAAGCTGGTTTCATCAGGTGGAGGATGTGACGGAGATATTGCTGACAGGTGACAGAAGGGGAAACTATTTATTGCATACTGAGCGGGCGGAGTGGGGGGGGGGGGAGGGCGGGGTGGCATATCATGAGCGTGAAACGAGAACAAAAATTAGCAGTCAAAAGAAGTTGTGAGCAAAATACTCCCTGTTGATTCTCGCAACAAAAAAATCCGATTTAACATGTAGGCTGCAATAAGTTCATAAGAGGTAGAGGTAGAGATGAAAGGTACAGTTCAAGGATATGCTATCGATCTCAAGCACTTTGGAAATTTCCGTGTGCACCAGCCAAACCTCTTCTGTTGCACTTTTTACCCCCCCCCCCTCTTATTTTTATCTTGAATTTTCAATGTTCTCGATAAACTCCTATTCGACTGTATCAAAGACAGCTCAGACTCTTTGGATTCTGCTTTTTGTTTACGCATCATAACAAAACCCCAAAGTAATCTCACTGTTGGAAAAGTAACTGAGAAAGAGACCACATGTATGACATTGCGCTGCACAAAATGAACAGGTGGTGTGACGACGGCACTGAAGACGAATAAGGAAAACGTCACCGAAATACATTGATGCGTAAAGGCAGCCAACCTGGAGCGTTATTCGCATTTGAAGTCAGCAACAGGATCAGGAAGAGAACCACCGAAATCAGTGAAGGGAAAAATTGGCATTAACCATGATTCACTCCAAGAAATCATTTCACATTGCTTCACCACATCAGGTGCGCAGTAGTGTGCGCCTGATGTGATGAATTGACGATTTACAAAAGATAAAGCAACCTACTGGCGGTCCTAGCGTCTGCACCAAAGTTACTGCTCCAAACTTACGACAGCACAGATGCGCAAGTACCCTGAGAGCCCGCTGACCACGAAAAAGGTTATTCGTGTTTATAGGATACTTCTCTTCGGAAGCTATGAATTCCCGCAAATTCTTGCCCTGTTCATTTTGGTGCGCATCCCGTTTCCGGTCTTAAATTCAGTAGGGCTTTCTTCGCTCTTTCCTCCCTAGTTCGTTTTCTTCCTCTTCATGCCAATTGAATCCATATTGTATCACGTCAGGAGATACGCGAAGATGTAAACATTTATGGTTGCAACGACTGGGTGTACTAGCAAGAAAAGGAAGCAACTTTCATGAACCGTTGTGGAAAACTTTCCTTGAATTCACGAACAACAGTCGACATCATTGCGAAGCAAGAGGAATAAGAAGGAAGTAAATATATAAACATCCCCACACAATAGGATACAATCACTCCTACGCAGAAAGAACAGCCATCAACACTTGCGAACACTGCACAGATTCAAAGAAAGGAGGAAGAGATTGGAGGCTGTCGTGAGAAGCGACGTCCGTTCCATACCATTCTTCGTGAGCGTGGTGCGCCGTACGCGATCCTGCGTACAACAACGTACGGCTTACGACTTGAAGGATTCAAGAGGCTTAATCACACGAAAGAATTTCCATTGCAACCATTCCATGTTATGCATCAGTGCCGTTATAATGCATAAATGGTTTGCTTCAGCGAACCGTGCTCCAAGAATAGACAGCTGATGCACCTGTGTTCCATGATGCTACAGCATTAATCTTACTACTGGTTCCAAGCATGCCTTGAGCAAGTAGTTTTTCTTAGGTCGGTGAGTTGTGGAATATTCCGTCCCCCTGATACTATTGGATAAAGCAGGATTCGTTAAGTTACTCATTTGTATCAAAGGCAGCGCCCGCGTTCAAATTTGATGAGTATGTGGCTCAGGTAGTA